CAAGTGACGGACTAAGAAAACGAAACTTCTGTTCTCACAGAATTAACTGAAGGATCCGTATCTAAGAGAAACACAGGTTGCTGCTGATGCCTGATAACTTTGTTGAAGTCAACAACTGAAACATCTGGACTGACAGATAAACCACAAGGATGCAATGGATGATGCTGCTGCAAGAACATATACTTTGTCATTGGATAATTAGAAATATGCATTAGTAGGTAATTGGGTGATTCATATCATACCCTTGTAAGTGTAAGCTATAAAACTCCCCAAAGAAAAATTGCTTGCATGTGCCCAGTTCGGCTAGGACACCTCATGCACACAATGAAATATGCTATTCAATCATCATGGGCCAGTTGTGAATTCTGCAACAAGAGCAGGAGGCACACGAGGCCATTAAACTGAGCTTTGGTTTAGCTTTCCTCTTGACAGCACAAGCAAGATGCCCCCAAGCAGCCTGAGCATCAGGCTTGTCCCCAAAAAAATGCAGGAAAAAGCCAAGCTCCTTTGAGCAGCATTTTAGCACTGGGAATGCAGAAACCTCCATGCTGGTGGTGCTAGGTTGAGCATAGAATGCTAGCAGGCCTCTCTGGAGATCCCTTTCCTTGGGTCAGGGGGCATGATAAAGCTGCAGCAAACTGTGCGGTCCTGACAAATTCTGTGTGCTTGTGTGACAAATGTAAACAGCACACATACCTGGCTGATGAGCAACCAATTCTCTTGCTATTTTTTCCACAATATTCAGTTTACCACATTCTCCCATCAGCAAGTTTGGCAGTGCTGAGGGTACTATTCATCAGCTTCTGGACTGGAAATAACTACTAGCTCACTGACAGCCTTTAGCTGTTTAACCTCAGGAGTTGCTTCTGAAGCAGCTCATGAACTGCCAAACTTCACATACCTGTGACAAGCCACCCTTAAGTGGAAGGAAGCACACACACAGGCTGTATCTCCAACTAGCATCAGGCTATCCCAGGGAGCAGACAGTGTAAGAGTGCTGCTCTTACACTGGTTTGACTGCAGGAAGCTGCAGAAAGGAATTCAGTCACATCAGCCTTAACATGGCAAGAAACCGTACCGATAAACACCAGGCTATAAACACTGACTCAGGAAGTGCTTGAACATGGACTCTCCACAAAGAGTCAGGTCCTCAGCTTGTGCTAGTATATGAGGTTATTCCTCCCCAGGGGCAGGACAGCAGCTGGCTGAATGTCATTAGGTTCCTATATGCTGATTTCCCCAACCTGTCATATTTCTGTTCAAAGGGACATGAGGTACATCAACCACTATTCCCAGTTTTGAATTATCAGCAAACTTGTGAAAATGTACTTTGCCCCATATCATGTAAAGAAGATGTTAAGTGGTATAACCTTAGTATTGACCACAAGGGACTGGTCTCCAGCTTGTCTTTGTGCTGCTAATCCTTTGAAATCAGAAGCTGAGGCTGTTTCCAGTCTACCTCACTATACAATTATCCAGTCCATACTGAGCTGGACAGAAACCTGATTGGTTTCAATAGCAAGCTGGTCTAGTTGAACATGTCCCTGGTTATAGCAGGGAGGTTGAACTAGATGACCTTTAAAGGTTCCTTTCAATCCAAACCGTTCTAAGAAGACTAAGGCAAATAAGGCATTGAGGACCTCAACCTTTCTATGTCTGCTTAGTAGTGTGAAGTTCTGGTTCTGCTGTATCTCAAAAAAAAAACCAAACAAAAACCCACAAGATGCTTAAGAGACAAAGGTGTTTTTAAAAGTTACAGTGGGAAGTCTTACATGTCTCTTCCAATGCTGGGAAACATGCAAGGATGCAGACCTGGACAGTTCTCTCTGGTAGAGCCACTGCTTTGCAGAATTCTTTGTGGTGAGATTCAATAGCCTCATTGTTATCACATCTTTACAGTATTCATCGAAGTAAAACAAATCCATCAGTCTCTTATTGTACGATACTGAATGTTCTAGAGGGTACACTGAGGTTTGCTGGAAACATTACACTTTTACACATTCCCGTGGGAACAAGCCCTCACAAAGAATACACACAGATTGCATTGTTAGTGGCAACACACGTCGTATACTCAAGTTCAGCAGTTCCTCATGCTAACACACATGCAACTCTACAATCAAAACCTAGTTAAATTCTGCCTAAAAACTGCTTGAAATCAGCCTCTTCTTTACAATACCTTCTGTGTTGGCCCACTGCAGCATTCTTCTTCACCCTGTCCCAGCCTCATTGAGGAGTGAGCCCACGTTTTCTATTGCAGAAACACTGCTTGTTTTTCACATCTCTTTACCAGATTCAACTCCAGATGGATCTGGCTTTCCTAACCCCCATCCTTGCACACATGGACAGTGGCCCTATTCCTTCTGACTCACCTGTGCTTGTGTCTACCTCCTGTATGCTTCCTTTCCATGCTTAAGTTCAGTCAGGCCCTCCTGCCATCTTTGCAGGTTTTCCTGCACACCAGAATGGACCATTCTTGAGCTTGTAGGAAGTGATTCTTTGTGGGGTAAAAAACCCAAAACCCAACCAGCTCTTCTGGGCCTGTCTTCTTTTCAGGATCATATCAAGTGGGTTCACCCAAGTAAATCCCTGAACAGGCTGAAGTCTGGCCTCTTGAAGGCCATGACAATAGTCCTGGCTTTCATCTTCTTCCCTCTTTTCAAGATCCTGAACTCCATTGAAATGGAGTTCACTTCCAATAAAACCACTCTTTTTAGTGTTGAAGAATGCTGAGACCAACCCTAACAACAATCCTAAATTAATCCCATCACAGGGATATGAAAGACAGATGTTTCCTGACAAAGACTGGCACTGACAAGGATGTAAAAGACAGATGTTTACAGAATGAGAAAAAACAAACAAGTGACAACATCTTATTTAAAAATAAAGCATGTTCTGTTGAGTTGACTTGACAATGGCTAGCCTAGCAACACATGACTTTATTGACCTCCACAGTTGACCAGTAGGTCTGAAGACACACCAGATGGGCCCTTATGCACTCTGGAGTGCCATCTCTCCAGAGCTGTATCATACTTGATGCTATCCAGATCTCTCCAGTAATTGGAGAGGATTTGATGATTACATGGAAAAGCAGCAGGGATCAATAATCAGCCAGAGATGCCTCTGCAGGCTTTTCATGCTATCATAAATCACAGGCCCTCAAAAGCAGCAAAGTCCCCTGGACAACAGGTCAGCAGACAGGCCTGTTCCCTACAGCAGAGCTGTCAGTATCAAGGAAGCAACCCTTAATGCCTCCTTCTGGTGCTCCTATTGCCTGAAAACTGGGTGTAAAGAAACTCTCTAAAACCCTTTTTTGAGTTTTAGGGAGCAAAACATTCTTTTATTTCAGCATGCTGGATGCACAAGAGAATATTGTCTCTAAATTGTGCATACCTGAGTTACAAAAGCCTCCTGCCTTTATTCAGTTACCAAATTAACAATTCAAACATTACCTAATCCTGTCCCTCCCCTTGACACAAATCCCATTTTGAGCCAGTGGTCCCTTTGGGTGGTTGTTCATGATCTTTAGGTTGTTCATGGTCCCTTTGGGTGGTTGTGCCTCATCTTTTTCAAGTTGTGCCAAAGTTCAAAAGAGTTCAAGAAAAGGACATCTTCATGCCCTTTGGACTGTGTCAGAGCACAAGGTCAGTTTTGACTTGGCCTGATAGCTGTGTTCCTTTTATCAGTTCTGCTTCAAAATAGGGAGACCTTCTGTCACTTAAAAAATTCCTTTCTGCTGAGAGTACTGACCTTTAATGACAAGCTATACAGGTCAAACTACGTAGTTTTAAGCTACATTTCTTATTCTATATGGGTACACTTCTGCAAGGCTCAGGCTCAGCCAGCTCAGATGGTTCACTTGACACTCTTTTCTACAACCACAAGGCTAAAGATATTTTGTAATTACAAATCATCAGGCAGTGCATAATCATTTCTCCTACCAGCAGGAATCACAGGCTTTCAACATCTTGAGAGTTTTTACTTCCCACCCTGATAGACAGACTCAGCCTGCCCCTCCCTCAGTACATACCTCCATGGTTTCTCAAAGCCAGAGGATCTCAGAGAAGATCCAGGTCTCTTTCACAACCTCTGATGATCTATAGCACACTAACCTCGTCCTGTAGCTCCTTTACTTAATAAAACATCTCAAAAGGCGTGCTTGTCCCTTCAGGCTAAAGGAAGGGAGACCAGCACCCTTCTTCTGAAGGTCTGTCTTGGGTTGAGACCTCCACTGTCGCAGGGGAGGTTTTTCCAAGAGCTGCTGAGGACGGCAGCCCTATAGCACACCCTGACCACTGCTGAGGAAGCATGTGCTGTTACAAGATAAGGCACTAGCCCTTCCCACACCAAATGCCCCCCAAAACCTTTGTGCTTTAAGCCCAGCTCTTATATAGCCTTCAGCCTGAAAGGGTGTCAGACCCTCCCCAATCAGTGTCAGCTGGAACTAAACCTCCAAGGGCCCTTTAATCAAAGACAGCTGGGGGGTCATCAGCTTTGTTAGACCTTGCTGCAGGTCAAGGCCTCCTGTAGCTCTCTGTTCCCAACAGCAGCAGGCAACCTCAGGCTCCTCAAAGGCTTCCCAAAAGGGTTCCCAGAGGTCCTTTGACAGTGATCCCAGAAGAAGGCCCCAGTAGATCTAGAAGCAAGACCCCAGAAACTGCTGTGCTATTTGCTGCCTCTTCTGACTGTGCTTAAGAAGGAATATTTTTGTGACTATTAGATTTTATTAGTGATAGTGTTAAATTTTGTTATTGCTCAGTATTAACATGACTGGCAATTAAGTTAGTAAGGAACAAGGTACCAGAATGCATGTTGGAATAGTAATTTTAAAGAGTTGAAATGGTTGGAAAGGTATACTGCAATATCATCATGATCTGATCCAACTGGCAGCCTGTGCTGACACCTGGGTACAAAACTAGACATCCTTGGGGGCTGTCTGACACTGAGTACAGGCAGAGGATATGTCCTGGGTTTGGCTGGGATAGAGTTAATTTTCTTCTTAATAACTGGTACAGACGCTGGGTTTTGGGTTTAGGAAGAGAATAATGTTGGTAACACATTGATATTTTTGTTGCTGCCAAGCAGGGGTTACATTGACTCAAGGCCTTTTCTGCTTCTCAAATCACCCCACCAGTTAGTGGACTGGGGCGTGCACAAGAAGTTGGGAGGGGACACAACCAGGACAGCTGATCCCAACTGACTCAAGGGATAGTCCAAAGTGTCATGCTGAAAAATAAAGCTGGGGGTAGTTGCCCAGGGAATGGTGACCCACTGCTCTGGACTAGCCTCAAGAGCTGGATACTAGATCCTACACAAACATTTGTGGTTTGTTTTCTTTAATGATAGCAAGATAACACTTGCAAACAAAGCATTAAAGAATGTCAGAGCGATTCTGCATACCTAGTTCTGAAACAATGGCACCCACATAAGTAGTTCATTTTGGAACATAAAGATTGTGCTGTTCCAAGAGTTATTATACAATTATTCTTGTCCAAAAGTTATGTGACTCCTACACACTGGTTGGCTGATTTTCCCACAGGGAGTGTCTTTCTTTCTTGGACATCCATCAAGATACACTTTTTTAATAACACAGATTGTTTTCCAGATGTGGCATATTGACAATCTTTGCCCATGCTACTTATGTGTAACAAACATTTGCGTTTTAGGGTCAGTGAAAAGGTTGTGCACACATTCTTGCCATGGTTTGTTGAATTTTTTTAGAGATTATGTACATATATGCACAATGCTTTTGCATTATAGTTATTTCTGTCTACTTATGGCAGTGTTAACTGTCACACTGATATATCAGGTTTACTTAAATGTATTTGCTTTTCTTCAGGTTCTGACACCAGATGGACCTATAGTGAAGTGAGTAATCATAAATCTTACTGCATTTGCAATTCAGAGCTCTCTTTGCTGCTTAAGGAGCCAGGAAGTCAATGAGTTACATGTAAAAAAAACAAAAGTTGACATATGAGTTTAAATATCCGTAAGACAGTTTTATAATTTGCACTTTTGTTTGAAAGCTTTTTATTTACTTAGTGGCATAGCATTATGGCTTGGTTCTCCAAGCACAAGATGAGGACATCATTTTTCTTTACTTGAACACACATGCTTGTGTTGAAGATGAGAGACTATGTTTCCAAAACATTTTCTCTATGAAAACGACTCAAGCAGAGTCTTTTGTACTTTAGTTAATGATGCCTTAAACCCCTAATTTTTTTTTTTTTTTAATATTTGTAAGACTTGTAAGTTTTATAAGTAGACTTTGAAAGCAGCAACCCCCCTCTTTGTCCCTTGTCCCTTTCCCTTTCTCTGGCACCCTTGTTTACACATTCCTTAACCCTCTTACCCCATTCTATGCTCCCTAAATCAATCCTACCCCTGAATACAGCAGAAATGTTTAGTCTTATGTCAAGGCAAGGCCTAGATTGTTGGCAGAACAGCATATCAGGGCCTAAACCACAGAACTACGGTCAAGAATTAGGTAACCGTGTACCCTTTGTGCTCTGATGAAGACGAAGATGATATGAACAAGGGGTCCTAAAATACACCCCAGACCCATTTTCAGGGGGTGGACCCGGGGCGGACCAGAGTAAAGGCCAAAGGGTGGACACATCTGGGATTGGATGGATGGTATTATAAAATGTAACCTCTCAGGCACGGCCTGCGCCCGTCTTGTAACATCTTAGCCTTGGCAAAATAAACCCTTTCTTATCTCACCCCTAATTAACTGCTCTGGAGATTTTTTCAGCACCAAAATTTCACATTAATGATTGAAAATTCCCTTTGTTTTTCCTATCTCCGAGGAAATTGTGCTGTGAAAGCTACTGCTGTAGGTATTTAGCCAGGGGATCCAACCAGTAAAGTAGGACTGTGAAGGTGAGAAAGACAGAGAGATTGCAGTGTTAACCTGGATACTTAAAAACAGTTTCAGTCTAAGTTATCTCTTTTGAATCTGATAAGCAAGTGAGGGGTCTTGAGAGCTGTAGCCACCCCAGGCAGCTGCAGAGCTTCAGAATGACAGCAGTAATGAGGGACCCACACAGAGACCTGTGTGGGATACTGCACTTTTCAGACATAGGTGTGCATCACATATACAGGATGCCTGGAATATTTTGTTGTAAGGGATGAAATCTTTTCCTATCTCGGAATAAGATACACAGATAAGCACATTTGGCTAAATAGCCTCTTAGCAAAGAAGATGCATTTAGACACCCCAAATTGATTTTCAACTGATTATTTATTTACAGCTGGCAGATTTCTATCATTCCACAGATTGCATCTTATTCATCTATCACACTCAGCTTGAAACCTTCAGAATGGCTTCCATTTTATAAATACTGCAAATCTTGTGACTGTTAATTATCTATATATTGCAGTACTTTTCTTACATAGTGTCTTTCAGCCCACAGCAAGTATTTTAGCAATTTCTAATTTCCCATGGAAGTTCTGGTTTTCTTGGACTACCCCACAGAAAACCACCCTGAGTTCTTTGGAGTGATGCAGCCATTGTCACATGTTCAGTTATGCTCTTTGAGGTCAAGGAGAGTGGTCTTACTGCACAATTTCATTTTGAAAATAATATTTATGATGCTTCCACGGACAGTTCATCACAGTTCATGTTAATGCAACTCACATGGCTGTGGCTGTGTTGGTCTGATGAATCAAGAACAGCAGTCCTCACCATCCTTAGAAACACTGTTGTAAGACAGTGCTTGAACAACTAGTTGGAGAAGTCAGCTTGGTTTTGTTTTTGCAATATAAAATACAAATAAGTCCCTAATTACATGCCTAATTACTTCTTATGAGGCTACAATTGCTCTCTTAGTGTCCTAATTTCATCCATTATCACTTCTCATATCTTCTTAGGTCTGTATTCTCCAGTCCAGGCAAAGCTACATTCGTTGGTCCTGTTTACACTGCATACACTGAATCCACAGTACTGACTTGGGCTTTGAGAAGGATATCACTCAGTCAGGAAGTGATTTCAGAAAGCAAGAATGATGACAAACCTGACAAAATAAGAGAACAAAGACGATAGGCAGCAATTTTACTGAAGGTATAAGGATGCTGGAGGGAGCAACATTCCAAGGCAATCCATTGCTTTTTCTAGTATTACTGCTGGTTTCTACAGGATCTGTCCAAAAAAGTAACTAAAGCTCCTGTCCTAATCAATCAAGCGGAGGAGCCCAAGGTCAATTAAGAGGAGCCTAAGCCATGCAGAAAAGTCTCAGCAGCTGTTTTGTGACATGCTGATGATTCTGGTGAGTCCCCTCTGATACATACATCTTTGGTGCTTGAAGTATGAAAGAATGTGTAGAAATTAAATAACTTTTAAAATAAAAGCACTCTCCCCTTCTGTAATGTCTCACCATAAATTTATACTTTTTTTTTTTATTAATAACTTACAACAGTCAGACAGTGTATTTGATAAATCATCTCAGCTCTTACACACTTCCATAACCTAGGAATAAGGCAACAATGTGTACCATAACTAATCAAGCAATTAATCCTTGAACATCTACTGCTGGGTGAGCTCTGCTAGGCTGGCTTGTACTGACTCCCAGTTCCTGATAGTTAAAGGATATATAGGATGTACTTTATCTCTGATGCCAGAAGGTTTCTTTGCCTGGCAGTCACTAACTGTTCCTGCTTTCTGATTCATTAGCCTGTATGAACTGTAAATAAATGTTCCTTCCATGCTAATAAGTATTTCTCTTAGGACACAGTATCTACTGTTCTTAGCCAGTACAGCTTGTGTCTGATCAGTGGACTCTGTCACTTGAAACTGGACTTGATGCCCAGCAGTAAGAAAGCAGACCTTGTGTCCTGCTTACTGCAGATAATGGGAAGATGGTTTGTACAGCCCTCATTTCAGAGCTGGAGCTGAGCTGAGGTGATATTTTTGTAGGAGACCACAAGCACTGCTGGGGTACAGTGAATTCAACAGTGGGTGAAGTAAAACCAGTGTTTCCTGGGTTTTATCTCCAACAGCTCCAGTAATGGTCTAGCCTAAAGAGAAAAAGTAGGCAGAACTATGTTGGTGAGTATATGAGAACCTCATTACTTCATACAAGGAGGAAGTATGGAGAAGGAAGGTGTGATGATACAGAATTTGAGATGGAAGATAACTGTTGAAGGCAGGCTGTGTCCTGTGCATTTCTCTTTG